AGTTTTATATAAGAAAGGACTTGTGTCGCTAAAGTTTCATCGGAAAGAAATTATACGGGAAATTAACTAACGACCAGAGACGTAACAGTATGCATAAATCTGCTGTTCCAAGCCCAAAGGCTGTCTTAAATATGTCACAAAACCCTCAAGTTCATGACACAAGATAACAGTGATTGGTGCTTTTTAGGTAAGATGGCGAATGAACAGTGAATATTAAGGGTGAGTTCAATTGTAATTATTATCTAATTTGCCAACCTGAGTGACTCAGATCACTAATTGAAAAACAACATTTTTATTCCTATAAAGTAACCAGACAAACGGGCTTTTAATCCTCCCTTAACCTAGTTCATTGTTTAAGAAAAATTATATCTAGCAATTCACTTGAGCACTGCTGTTGTTCAACTGGGGAACTATGAAAAAACAACATAATTTTAAAATTTTACATTATTAATTAAAGGGATGGAAAACATAAAATGTTGCCATACTACACATGCATTCTGCTTGTACACAACTCACAAATTTGAGACTGTGACCTAGTGGCTGTTGACTACATAACTAGCCACAGTGATGTCTGTTGTTCATTTTCACCTCATTTTTCTTAAATGATAGTGTAGTTTTAACTTAATATATTACTTATTACAAGCTACAAATGTAACCTGTGTTACATAGAATAAGATTGGTTCAATAAGAAAAGCTATGGGGAGTTGATATTCATTATTCTTTACTTGCTCAAAAAACACGTGAAATGTGGAATAACTTACTCATTTTGTTAACCTATTTACATGAACAAGATTCCTGTGTAATTATGAGTAGCTCTAGCTTGATAGGCAGCACTAAAAAAGAAAACAAAAGTATTGCATTGTCATGTATTAATTAACCATTTAAGTATGATTGTGGCCCACTTGTGCATGACCTATTGAAAATTTAAGCAACTTTATTATCAATGTATGTAGTTTATAATTCAAGTCTTAATTTCAATATGAAATATTTAAAAATCCTCAATCATCATTTTTCTATGTCAAGTGATGCGTATGCACTCTGAGTTCTTTACTGTAGATTTTTAGAAGTTCAATTATAGGCTTCTACAGTTTTGAACCAATTAGAAACACAGCTATACATAATTACAAGCTAGAATATAAAATACTTGATTTGCTCTTTCCAACTCTCTGTCTTTTGCGATTGATTGTTAATGAACTTTACGTGGCTGATTGACATGTTTATAACCAATAGGAACAGCAGATTCTTCTCTACATAAAGTTTCTTACAGTATTTCATTTTGGTGCATCTGCAGTCAGGCATAGTTTCCTTGAGATAACAATTACTCTACTCTGAACAGTTAATGATAATTTTTTAACATGTTTATAGCTTAGTTAGGAAGACAAGTGAATTATAGTAGTTTATTTTACATAAGTGATTCAGCTGTTCTATTTGCAATTACGTGCACTTAAACTTTGCTGAATATTCAGTGAGGATTAAGGGAAGGAATCAACTAATAATTTTTCTACTCCTAAACTGCTTGCAAATGCTATTAAATTTTACAACTTAGGTTACTTTTACTAAACTCTTTCATTTTCTGTATTAACCTTTATAATATTCAACTTAGCTAAAACACTGGACTTACTGTGTTTTGCATCTAGGCTAAATAAACTCATGTACTGCATTGTATGTAGTGGCTGTTTGAAGATATATCCTTAAAATTTGAAATTATTGAAAATAAAAGCATAAATTACTTACTAAGCCTAACCAGTTTTTGCTATAGTAATGTCTCAGCACTAGAATATTGGGAATTGACAGCTTTATATTTTATTCTAAAACATCATTAAGTTTTTCCTAAACTATATTTAGCATATACTCAAAGCTGCAGGTCTTATATAGGTTGTTCAGTGTCTAGGACAGTTTATTCTTTAGAAGTCAGAATAACAGAAAAACTTTTAAAAACAATTTTCATCTATAATATATAATATCTTTTTATCTTCATTATAGAATATTATAATGTAATTGTTTTCTCAAAGCTTTTCAACTTATGTGTAGGGCTGTTTTATAGGAATTTTTTTAATGAGTAATTTGTTAAATTTTGTTTTTGTTTCAGATTCCTACTAAGTCACAATTTTACAGAGCAGTGCTTCAGGTTATCATTCGGGACAAGTGTGGAACCAGTAGATCAGATTATAGGGTTGGCAGGCTAATGGCTAAATGTAATGGATTTGTTGATTATGTTAGACAGTCACTGAAGAAACTGAAACTTACACATCTTCAGGTATTTTTTTCTAATATTCTAAAAGTAAATAAAAAGTTTGTATACTTATTCAGAAACTATATATTTTTTTTTAAGTACATATCCAGAGTAATCTGAAACCATCTTTGTATTCTAAATGAGGTCAGAAGAGCCCTTGCACTAAGTATACTGGACTGTGAATCTGAGGGTTCATCTTTGAAGTTATGCTGCTGCAAAACATTGCTCTTCATGTTGAGCTATGGCTATGAGTGCATTGTACGAGAGACAGTCAATTCCCATTATTTGATTAGAGTTGCATAAAAGTTGGTGGTGTACATGCTGTTGACTAGTTTCCTTTCCTCTGATTCTGTAAGTTCCAAGTTAGGCAAAGAACTGTTAGATCTCGTAAAGCTTTTTATGAATGTTCCAAACAAATAAAAACATTGATGTAGCATTCATTCTGCAAAATCTAAACTTAAGTTTTCATGGATTAACTGTGTAAGAAAAGAAACTGAAAAATTAATTCACCAGGTTAGTAATATGTAGAGATTGAGTTATAAGTGGCATGATAAGTTATTGTAATGTATATATTTTGTTTTATATTTGAATGATGAATCAAGCAGTGCCTCATTATTTCACTTGTTTAGCTTTTTATTAGGATTTTGTGTGTATACATACAAGCAGCTAAAAATATTTTAGTTTTCACAGATTACAACAAAATATCTACTGTATTATTTGCTTTGTTTTTACATGTTTATTAAAATATGCTATAAATGTTTAATACTTGTCATTGATATATTTTTATCATATATTTAATTAAATCTTTCTTGATGTCTCTTTAATATCCTCCAAATACAATTATTTGGTATTTTTTTCTTATTTACAACAATCTGAATTCTTTCACTTTTGGCCATTATCACCTCAGTCTCAATAACAATTAATTAATACTTAAAATGATTGTTACTTGGTGAAACTCCATAATGTAACTGATGATGCCTTTACTGGTGGAACCATTGTCGTAATGAATGAAGTATTTGTGAAACGTACAATTATCTTTGTTTTCCTCAATCCCAATAAGCATTATTGTTTCTTTCTCCTTCTGAGACTTTCTTTAACGCATTTCTTCTTTTCACTTGTTAAGTTACCACATCCTAATTTTGCCATCAGTTTTTTTTTTTCCAATTTGCTTAAACATTAACATATCTTTCTTGCATTATCTCTTCCGTATTATCCTTTTAATTACAAGAATAATTACATTTCTTTATTCTGCCCATTGTTTCCTTTATCTTTTTAATAATTTGGGAATTTATTTTCTTTCTGCTATTATTACATAGACTTTGGAACTTCACACTTCATCATAGGTTTTTCTTTTCCTTGCTTACCCTCTTGTGATTTATTTTTAATACTTCTATGTGGTTACATAATTTTTTTGTGTTACTTCTGCCATATCCATCATTCCAAATTTCATTTATCCTATGTAAGAAGGTGTATTTCTATCTAATCCAACAATGCATTTTATATATCTAGCCTGAATTATTTAAATTGTTTCTTCTCTTTTACAAATTCATATTTCAACTCCCTAGTCAATGATTGACTTAACCAAGCTTTTTCTATAATCTTTTATGCACATCTTTCATCTAAGTTCTTTTTATAGCAGTCTACTTTTCATTTTGAGCATAACATACATTTGTTTTTAGATCTATCAGGTTTTCTTGTGCATTATTTCTGATACAGTTTACAGTGAATTCCGAAGTTCGTGTTGCAACTTCTGATATTCTTCTCACTACTTTGAGCGCCATTACACAGGCTTCAGGTTGAGGGGTCTCGGCTGAGGATTTTTTGGCTATCGTTTGTTAGGAGATTGATTGTTATATGAGTTGACCTTCTTCTCCCGACAATGTTTAGGTTCCTCCTGAATCGTCCAAACCTGTTCATAATGAGGAGGATTTTGACAGCCTTTTTCCTCCACCTAACTATGCAGTGCCTTCTCAAGTCTCTTCTGTGGAATCTTCCAAGCCTAACTCAGCCTTTTTGGATATAATTTCTTAGGTCTGTTCCATTTTATCAATTTCACTGATTTTGTATGATCCTGTTCATTCCTTGTTACATGATACCCTGTCCTTAGAGTACCTTATTTTCCCTCCTTCCCCTGACATTAGGGTTCATGCTGAGCATTTTGTTTCTCAGTTGAGGACTCATGCTAGCATGCCTCATCCTCCATGAGGTTCTTATCATTAATATTTGGCTTATCATCAGGCAGATCAACCCTTTCTCGACTCATAGCAGTTGGAGTCACTTTTACCAGTGTGGGGGCAGACCCTGAAAATCCTATCGGTTTCTCCCACTCCCTAGTTTTTTACTTTCATTTTACTCTTATAGCTCTCCTATGGTACTCTGAGGCACTCCACCAATCCCCTGAGGGGTTTTCAGGGGTTCAATATTTTATTGTTTGTATCAATGTCGGGTTCATCGTTGCCAGCAGTTTTGATGACTATCAGGTGGTTTCTGGTCCAGTGGGAGTGTGTTTGGCTGATTTTGTTCCCCTGGAGTTGGAATTCTTATCCACTTGGGTGTATTTTTTGACACCCACCTCATTTGAGCACAACCTTTTCCACTTCGTCTTCATTCAATGGAGCTTTCAGTTCTCTATGCCCTTGCTGCTCTCTCTCTTTCTGCGTGTGAAGTTCTATCACTTCTGGGGACTTGGGCTTCTTTTGTAGCCCTTATCCCCTTGGATTGGAGACATATTCATTCACTTTAGTAGACTAAATGACCAGTGGAATCTTGCTTGGGATCCCTTGGACTCCCATATTACCTTTTATTCTTTCTTTGCATTGATGGTTGATCAAGGACAACACAATGCAGGGAGTACTACTTCCTCCACCTCGTTCAGATTTGCATCTGTTCACCGATTATTCTTTTGAAGGTGGGAGGCTTCCAGACAGTGGTCTCATATTGAAAAGTCTTACCACATCAACATCTTGGAGCTTATGGTGGTATGACATGCTTTGAACCATTTTCTTCTTATGGAATGGAACCAACTCGTCATGATCCATTCAGTCAATTCCACTGTTGTGGTGCCTCTCTCAATCATCAAGGGGGCACCTGATCCTGTTCCCTTTGTGGTTAAACATTAGAACTCATTTATTGATCCCACATGCTGCAGATAAGTCTCTATCCAGGTGCTTTCGACCTCGTGGCAGATCGTCTTTCCAGACCTGACCAGTTTTATTCCACGAAGTGGTCTCTTGACCCTCAAGTTTTCAGGTGGCTATGAGTCAGTGAATTACTCCTCATCTAGATGCTTTTACCACTTTCCTCAACATCAAGTTACCTTTTTTTTGGCCACTAGGTCCTTTTCCTCAGGCCCTGGCTGTAGATGCTCTCAGTCAGGACTGGACCAACCAGTACCTTTATGCCAACCCTCTCATCCGACTCTTTTCCAGGGTCATTTCGGTCATTCATGCCACTCTGTGTCAGGTCATTCTGATTGCTCCTTACTGGCTGGTGCAATCTTAGTTTCGCCCTGTTGCCTCTTCCTCTCACTCCATCCATATTCTGTCAATCTTGGTCACTGGTTCTTCATCCCACCCTCTAACTTCACACCTGTCATTTAGAAGGTCCCTGGCAAGGAGATACAGATTGTCTATGCATGTCACTTCCCTTTTAGCATGGACCATTATCCCTTCCTCCCTTGAGGTTTATCTACGTAAATGGAATGTCTTCCACCTTTAGCTTTGAGTAAGGATTTTCCCCTTCTCAGCCCACTGTTCCTCATCTTATGGATTTTCTCACTTGGCTGTTTGATCATGGGGCTTCTGTCTCTTCCATAGCTGGTTATCATGCAACCTTATCCAACACCTTCCATTTTTCCCAATACTGTTTGGTGTTTTCCTCTTTTACCATCTTCTTTTTTTTTTTATGCATTTCTTTTGGATTAGTAGACCTCCTCGTTAGGTGGTTCTACTGGATTGGAATATCAGTATTGTTCTTCACTGCCTTATACTCCCTCCATTTGAACCTTTGTCCTCATGTTTCATCTATCCCTTGAGTCCTATTTCTTGCCACTTTTAACCTGTGGGCATCGTCAGTCTGATATATTTGGCATCAACATTTCACATACTTTGTTCCATTACATATTTGTTCTCCTTTATCGTTGTCGATCTTTCATATCCAAAACTTCAGTGGCTCATGAAGGACATTCTTCCTTCACACCAATTTCACTTCCATCCATTTCCCAACTTTATTCCCAGTCTGATCCTTATAGACTTCTATGTCCCATATGTGCTCTTCATTGTTATATTGCCTGCACAGTCCCCATTTCTGCAGTTTCATTCCCTGACAACATTCCTCTGTACATGACCTATCTCCTTCTACCCTTACAATTTGGGTGTGTAAACTTATTCAGTTGGCCTATTTTTCCCTGTCTCCTTCTTCTTGAAATCTGTTCCTGGTGTCATTGCATCAGATCAGGCTCCTTATGTTTTTCATGCTGTCTCACGTTTGTCTTCTATTGGAGAATATTTTTTAGTCAGGCATGTGGACTACACCTCCCACCCTTCCTCCCCACTCAAAAACTGGTGCTTCCTTTCTGCCTAATCTCAAACTGATAGTTCGGTAGAATCAAATAGAGGGAGTCACATGCAGCAGGAGGGTGTGTCACACTCCTGTTGTTGGAGGGTTGTCACATGATGACTTATGGGAGTTCAAGGCTTGTAGCATGTGAAACTTTTTGCATATAGAGGGCAGCACTTAATGAGAGGAGGTATTTTCAGTATAAGAAAATGATAACTTGAGTGTTTAATCCAATATCCCAGTTACTTATACTTCCTTTTCACTTCTGTTTTTTATCATTTCTATACCCAGCTTTAACCCTTTTTTTTCTGTCCACTCCTAAAAATAGCTTTTGATTTACCAAAAGTAAAAGTTATTCTGTTTCTTTCTGCTTATTTTCCAATGACTTCGGCTTATTCTGCAATTCTTCTGAATAATCCAAAAGTATTACTAGGTTATCTGCAATTTTCAAATAAAACATTTTTAAC